AAATATTAATTGCTTATTTTTAGTTTCTGCAAAGAATAACTGAATAAATTGATAGGGAATATAATAAGCCATTATATGTATAGCTAAAATCAATTAATATTTAAAGTAACTTAAATTATGAAGTAAAAACCTGCATAAAATCAGAAATATTACCTATGAACATGAAATGACTTATCTTATTATTCGGTATAAGGCCAAGAATACTTAACTCTATAAAACTACAGTAAGAATGACAATTATATCCACATACATAACTTTTTCAAGCTAATGGTCTCATTCTTTCTTATGATATCAGTCAATTCCAAAATTTGACTAAAAATATATTATCAATGTATTAAATACTTAGAATTAAGAACTGAGAACATTTGCTGTGCTACTGAAATAAATTTGAGGTTCAGATCTTTTAAGATATTAAATAACATTCTCATATTCTTTTGTACACACTAAAAATATTTTATTTATTTCCTATTTAATCTCAATTTTTCCCTTGAATGTGTTCTTTTTATACAGATGCATTGTCTTTTAGTTCTCAACTTTTTAATTCTCCATTTTTACCTTCCACTAATAAGACCCAGTCTCTAAAATCCATGTCAATTGCAGTTATCTCTGGAACAGCGACACATTGATATCCTTTTCAATCATCCTAATCTAATTAGAGATATGAGTGTAATAAGAGGAGGGAGAGTTTATGACTGAGATCATATGACTAGGAAATAATTGCCTTTAATTGGATTATCTAGTAAGTAACTGGAAATTTGCACATAAACTGTATATCCAGTCATAATATTATTTAGTGTAGATCTAAATTCCAGTTGCATGAATTTTAAATATTGAAAGAAAATACCTAGAACTGATGTCAATATATAATATTAGCCTAAACTTCAAGTTAATTTGGTGAAGAAATATGTTATCAAAATTCTAACAATCTACTAATAACTTTGAAAAGACTAAATCATAAATTATTTCAAATCATATCTAGCACCTCTAATAAAATAATACCACCCAAACGATGGCTTTGATGACTTAAGAGCCATGAAGCAGCAGGAAGGAACATAAGCCAGAAAGAATATGTGTGTGTTGGGGTGAGGGGAGGTACACACATAAGATTGTCTCAAATGCCCTGATTATGTGTTGTGAAGTCCAAAGCCTTCCCAGACATCAAATTCTTTATATCTTAGGTTGTCATCTTTCCTCCAAATGAACCTGTAAAGTTACACGTTATTTCTCTTTTTCACCCAGAATAAATCCAAATTATTTCCCCTAGTTTCTGCACAAAAAGTTGACACGCAATTCCTCTTAACAAATATTAATGAAAAGTTATGAATAGCTGGAAGAAATCACAGAAACTCTACCTCACTATTCATTCCTGTTACATATCATAGATCTTCCCAAACTGTTTCCTGGATATCCAAATATTCTTACTTTATTCATGAGAACAGTTCCACCTCCAAATGTGCACAACCACTCACATTAACATTCATCCTTGGCAAAACAAAGAAAGCCCAGTTAGTAGGACTCATTATTTTTAGAAACCTGTTACAATTAGAAATGGGTATTTTCCTCTCATGTACTACTACCAGTTCTCTAGTAGGATGTACTGCAATTCTGGCCCATCACAGGAAGCACTAGGAAGAAAGAAGACCATGCTACTAGAGGCATCAGAAAGGGAAAAGAGCTCTATGTGAAAGATGACACTGGAGCTAAGTTCGAAAGTTAAATCTCAAATAGATGTTCAGCATGGTCATACCATGGAATCACAAGACAGGAAAAGTAAAGTGGGTGGGGAGGGGGAAATATTTCAAACAGATGGAACAGAATGAGCAATGCCTCAGAGATCCCTCTGGCTGGCGTGTGTGTTGCTGTTGTCACAGTGTGGGTCTAGAGAGGTTCAGTAGAGAAAAATAAACCCATCTAGACAGTAAAGGGCCAGGTCATGAAGAACATTGTTTACTCTGTTAAAATGCTAGGATTGAATCCTACAATTCCTAGTCTCAGTCATAGTAATGAGTTGTAGCATTACACCAAAAATATAGTCATTAATAATAATGAGCAAAATGTGAACGTCTTTTTTGTATTCTATACAATTCATGTTTTGCCCTAGATATGATATCCTCCCTCAGTTGTTTTACCGTATACTCTGTTAAGAAGACTGGAATGGAATGTCATTAAGGCTAGCATACTGCAATATGTTCATAAACCTAGATGTTCCCAGGGATGTTTCTCTCATATGAAAGTCATCCATCCTGTGGGCCAGAGTAGAAAACAAATATTGAGAAGCATTACTTTGGGAATTAAGGATTTCAGGCACGCAAAGACAAACGATGGGTTTATCTTTTAGAAGTATCATTGTGGCAGTGAAAACAAATTGGGCCTACTTAGCAGCCTAGTGGATATAACCCAAGGGAAAAGAGGTAAAGACTTTACTAGGGTAGTAGTAAGAGTAGGGGAATTGCATGAAAGCTAGTTAGAGGATAGAACTGACAGTATTGTACCGAAGGACACATTAGCTGTGAAAGAGTAAGAGAGAGGAACAATATGCTTGTTACTCTATCCTTTAGTGTTCTTTGTGTTGAAAGCCACTGAAAATACTTCCGGACAACTTTGCTCAGATAGGAAGACCTTCCGGAAAGATTAGGGGATTTTGACCTGAGCCAAAAACCAACGCCCCAACATGAGTAAAGGCTTGCTTCAAAGGAAGTGCCCTATGAAAGGGTACCACGAGATTTCTGTAGAATTTCTTTTCAGAGCTCTAAAAATCCCTATTAACTAGAGATCTAGTAATCAACTACACTAAAACTAAGATATTTCAATGATGCTGAATTATTCATTAAAAGTGCATCCAGTTAGTCAAATTACCAACTCCCATTGGTAATATTTCAAAGTCTGAAAGTCTTGAGGTGCTCAGGTTGTCAATGAGAGTGTGGCTCAAAAGCAACTTGAGAAAAAGAAGAAAATGTGGATGGCCTATAAACACTGAATTTGGAGAGACACGGGTTTATGCACTCCAGCTACTGGGTTAACTATGAATAAATAAAATATGATGCATTTATTCATGTACCTACTGCTATGAAATGATGAAAATAATTTTATCTACTTCATGAGCAAAATATATATGATTATTTTTAGTCTGTATTCAGTTTCCGATAATAATTTTGACATTTTTCTGTCAGTTAAAGAAATCTATTCATTATTTACTCGGGGGATAGTCTAGAACCGACTTTATATCTACAAATTACTCATGCTCTTCTGCATAGTGAGATTATGAAGCAGTTTATTTTGTCTTTCAAAAAGGCAGTTATTTTTTATTCCTCTGTCAAAACCTAAATTTACACATGACTAAAAGCAAAGATTATATTTTGATTACCTTGTGGTAAGAATTCAAATTGAAATGACAGACATCAGAATTTATTTTGCCTTATATAAGTGATACTATTTCTGAATCTGTCAATTTCCAAAGCAAGAAAAATAAAATACTTTTTACCACATACATATTATTTTTTTATGTCAAATTGGAAAGTGTCCACTTTTTCAAACTTTCCAATCTTCTCTAAGACATGAAAAAAAATTAAAAAGATGTATATTAAAAAGGACATTGCTTAAAAAGGTATATGCACCCTGGCTGGGTGGCTTAGTCGACTGCAGAATCATCCTGTACACCAAAAGGCTGCCAGTTCAATTCCCGGTTAGGGCACATACCTAGGATACAGGTTTGATCCTTGGTTAGGGTGCATATTGGAGGCAACTTATCAATGTTTCTCTCTCACATCAATGTTTCTCCCTCTCTCTCTCTCTCAAAATCAATAAATCCTCAGGTGAGGGGGAAAGTATATATGCTGAAAAAACACCTGACATCATAGCCTGATTCTTTCAAAAGGTTAAACCAGAGCTAACTGGGTTAACTTATAATATACCTCAAAAATTAGTAAGTTAAATCACATTCAGTTAACCAAGCAACCTGAATTTATTTAACATGCTATTTGCTTCAATTTGAACGTGCTTTATATTTCAAGTAGGTTTCAAATTGACCACCCAAGCCTAAAGCACCATTTTCATTTCATCCTTTATATTGTTCTAGAGTGTTACTACTGGAACTCAAATTATTTCATTTTCTTGCTTAAAAACCTTTAGATGTCCCTTAGCAATCGTGTCTTTGTCACACCTCACTTCTATCTTTTGCCTCTCAAAGGAGTCAAACTTGACTACAGTCCTATTCCTTACTTATTTGTTCACACATACCGTTGGGGAAATGTTGCCCTGTCAACTAGGAACATCTCCTCCCTCTACATACACCCTCTCCTCCTGGCTAATTATTATTTGTCTCTGCTCAGTTTTCCTCATACAAACCACATTATATAATGATTAAAAGAACCTGATTAATTCATGTATGCTCTGATTTAAAATATATATATACAAAGCCAGGAGATCATTCAGCCAAAAACCTCACTTAAAAACTTTTTAAAGAAATCATTTAACTTAAGTGACATAACCAGTAAATGAGAACATTTTAAAAAGAAGTCTTACCACACAGAAAACCATGGTATATATTCAATATATCTTCTGCAGAAAAGGAACATAAATATAATTAGAAGAATAAGAAATGACACCACAAAACAACTACTTGGTACAGCAATGTATTGTAAAACAATACTATATATAACATAGTCAAATTCCCAAGTTTAAGAACGGGTAACAGATAAGAAAACCTAGGGTACTAATGATAAATAAAAACGCAGTGAGTGTTAAGGAGTTAGTGAAAGAAGTGCCCAGTATAGATTGGCTTCATCTGAAAGAGTGGAGTTTGCTATTAAGGAATACATAGAATATGGTTGAGCATAAATTCTGGAAAAAAATACAAAGGAGATGAAATTACCTTAAATTAGATGAATATATACCTCTAGGTATACTGTAGTCATTTGAAAAAAAAAGAAGTTTTATGGCCCAAAGCAATTAATGATCATTGAAAGACTGGTGGTTGCCAGGGGCCAGAGTGGGGCTGGGGAATGGCAATTGAAAGACGTTGGTCAAAGGGTACCAGTTTTAAGGTAAGTCTTGGTCCTGTAATACAGCCTAGTGATTACATGAATGGTACGGTATTGTAAGGTGTACTTAAAAATCGCTAAGAGAGTAGATCCTGAATATCATCATCAGGGGGGAAAAAAAGGAAACTTTGTGAGATGATGGATGTGTTAACTAACCTTATTGTGGTAATTATTCACAATATATACACATATTAAATCATCACATTGTATTCCCTTACTTACATAATGTTATATATCATTAACATAATGTTATGTATAAATTATATCTTAATATAGCTGGAAATATGATCTAAAAGACAAATTCAGTATGCCAATGACAAAACAAGTAAAAGGAACATTATGTACCTTACATGAAATAATGTCACTGACTTGAGCTTAATTGAAGCATAATAATGGCATAAAAATGAATAAAATGATTTAATATGCTATGTAAATGGGCAGAAATGGCAAATGCTTACTAGAAAGTTCATGTTTTGTGACTTACAAAGCATTCACAATTTTTTATCTTTTAATGTTGAATTTATTTCCCAAACATTTTTAGTATATTATTTTAGGGCCAAATGACAAGGATAATAATTTTAAAAAGCAAAGGAAATGAGAACTATAAAAAATAAAAAAGCAATTTTTTACATTATACTGTAAAAATAAATTGTAATATGTACAAGGATTTAAAAAACCATTAATATAAAACTGTGGACTTCTTTCTTTTGCCTACAGACTGAAAAATCACTGCAGGTATTTCTAACTCTCTGTATGTATAACTTTAAAAGCTTTTTAAATAAATAAATATATATATGTATATATATATATACACACATATATATATACATTTTTTTCCTTTTATAGCACTAACTCCAGTAGAAAACCTAGGGGATCTTAGTCTGGCCAGTAGTGAAATGTCTTGTGGTGAATATTTGTGCACTCTGCTTAAAATTGCCTAGATAACTTACACATATTTAACAGTATGTCTTATTGCTTTCAAATACATTTATACTTTGAAACATCCCTTTAGCTGATAGCACTCAGAAAGTTTAAGATCACTAAGTCAATAAATGGTACTGTCCACACAAAACTTGTCCAAACAACTCTTCTAACTCCTAAAATAGGGAAAATAAAGTACCTCTCTTCCATGCCTCACAAAAATTCTTAATTTTCCCAAAGAGGGGAAAAATACTATGAGAGAACTAGGCAGACAAAAAGGATTCAGTAGAATTAAGTGGCAAATGCAGCAAGGAAAATCATTTTTACATTTAGTGGTATGTATGGCTGTTCTTTCAGAAGTTTAAATCTTAAATTCCTCTAGGGTTATAAGATGCAAAAGGAAACCCATGAGGTGAGAAGCACTCAACCTAGGAATTTACATTACAATCAGCTATACAAACTCAAATAAAAGAATCAAAGTCTACTTTCCTAATAGAGTCTCACCCAATGGGACAGGTCAGCAAATAAGAATAAAACTCATGTTGTCTCATAATAAATAGCTTCTAGAATTGAGGATTGGCTCAAGAGAACTTGTTTCTGTATCATCTCCAATAAATTCAAGATATCAGAAGTAAACTGGATTTTAGTTTGTATATGCATGCACTATAGCAAAATAAGGTGAAAACGATGTTCTTATTTTAATTACATATATCTGTCCACATAAGCATTTTAGAAGAATATTTCACTAACAGGGTTGTACTTTTAAGTATGAAAATATGGCCATATCACAATTAATATATGGTTTTCAGTCTACTTCAAGTAAATTCCTGTTTATTAATATGAGTCAAATGAAATTCAAATTGAATTTAACTCTTAGTTTTAATTCAAGTGAACAATATTCTTAACCCTCCAAAAAGTGTTTCATAAATATCTTCATATTGGCACATTTCTTGGACTACCAATTATGGTCCAGTCTTCTTCTCCTTAATTAATTAATTTTCTACCATTATACAATGGGCACTGAAAAGCCCCATCTTCAGCTAAGATGTTACTGCTGCAGAAGAGCTCAGGGAATGGCTGAGTTCTCAAGGCCTCCTACATCTGTTTGCTGTGAAAAGGCATTTTTTCCCATGTTTTTGGGCACACTGACAACAAAGACAGGGAGAGCTCCCCTTCTTTAATAAATTTTGATTGACAGTTCTCTGGTGCCGAGTGTGGTCATACAGTGCCTAGGCCTGACTGGCTCTGTCTGAAATAACAGACCATGTGGTTTCAAAGCCTAACTTAAATGTTCTGCATTTTATTATTGGCAAGAGACAGAATTTAAATGGAATGTCTGTCAGGTTTCCATGCTTCCCTCTGCAGCTTGCAAGCTTCAGCTAAAAATTCTCTTCCCTATCTACATCATCTGTATTTTTATGAGTTGCATAATCTAAATTCAAACATTTCAATTTTCTCCACTACTTTAGGGTCCCTAATGTATTGAAAAAAAAGGTGAGGTGGCAAGTGTCACTTATAATTCATATAAATGACATGAATTTCCCAATACAGTTCTCTTTTCAGTATTTATAACAGTGATCAATTCCTGAAATGCTTGTTGTTTTTTAAGAAGCTATATATTTATTTGGGTCTCACATTTTCCTATTATTGGTTCTAGTATCTAATTTTCCTACATGAATAATAGATATCAAGATAGTACAGGCCAATGAATTTTAAAAATTCACCCAAATTTGCTCTCTGCAATTAACATAAAATTAACTTTTTTTTCTAAAAGGATTTTTTACATGTTCAATTACAACTTATATTCAATGTTATCTTGTATTAGTTTCAGGTATACAGCATAGTGGTTAGACAGTTATATACTTTACAAAGTGGTTCCTTTGATATTTCCAGTATCCACCCAACACCATACATAGTTATTACAATATTATTGTCTATATTATCTAAGCCATCCATTATAGATGTATGTGTAATTTAAACATAGAGAATATTCTTTTGTTTTCATTTATATGAAAAAATGTTGAACTCTTTTGTGCAAATTGTTGCAATCTCTCTCATGAACTCTTCCCGCCAGGTGCAAGGAACCATCTTCCCGGCTCCCAATTTCAATCCCATAATGGATGCCCAAATGCTAGGGGAAGCGCTCCAAGGATTTGGTGAGCCTGATAATTTCTATCATCTTTTATAATACTTTCATAATACTTTTTTTGCTTTATCTTCTCCTAAGATTGTAATATGGGTTTAAATAGCTGATGTCTAACAGAAGACAAACATTTTTCTAGAAGCTGGGCAAAGTAGAAAAAGAAGAAAAATAATAGAACTGGACAATAATGGTGAACAGATCTGCTTCTCTTTCTATTGTAAATCTGATCTTGACATGTTTTTGCCTTAAATCCCTCATCACTTACTACTAAATGAAACCCCAAGCCAAAAAAAAAACAAAAAACAAAACAAAACAAAAAACCTTAATCTAGGAAAAAATATCCTTCTCTGCCCTTGTTTGTTTCCTAGCCTGTTTCTTTTGCTACTTCCACTTCGAACTAAATCAAACTTCCTGCTATCCTCCCAAACAGATCTATTTTCCACATCTTTGTAAACTGGCCCAATAATCCCCCTGCCTGGAGTGCTGTTCTCTCCTTTTTACTTTGCATCCAAATTCTCTTCAAGATTCTCCTGAAATGAGTCCTCCTCTTTAAATCCTTCTTTAGGAACTTCAAACACACCAGATACACTGAACCCTGAGCTTCTGCACTTCCGTGTTACTGATCTCTTTGGGCTTGTCCTTTTTGTCTCACTTGCCTACTAGTCTGTGAGCTCCCTGAGCGTTGAGCCTGGCATGCAGGTGTTTAATAAAAGAATGGGAAGTGAATGAAAGTAGAGTGCAGAAAAGGGAGCTATAAAGAAGGGAGGAAAATGTGTTGGGTTCTTTTAAAAAAGATTTAATCTTTAAGATACGGTATGGCACTGTTAAATATCCATATATTTTTGTTAAGTAATGGCTATTTTAAGAAGACCTATGGTGAGCACGAAAACGTTGGCAACAGAAAGAAAACGTTAGCGTAAAACATGCAAAGCCTTTCATAAGAAAGCAAGCTCTTAACTTTAAAGACAAAGTCACCTTTATGAGAATTTGATTCACTTTGTGTTTTATTCATTAGCAGAACCCATAGGAAAACAATAAAGGACTTTAAATGTGCTCTATAAAGTCGACTTTAGGAGTTTGCAAAGTTGTCATGCCTTTTAAAAATATCAATAATCACTAGAAAAAAATACAGAGACAAGATAACAAAAAGTTACAGAAGAGTGTATTATTCAGGACAGTAATTTTTGCTTTAAAACTGTAGATCAGAGCAATCTATTCATTGGATAAAATTTTCTTTGCTACAGTTTCCATTTTCCCACCACTGTAATTTTAGGGATGAAACACGGATTCATTTTGACCACTGTAATTTTTTGTTTGTCAAGTGTTTTAGGCTTAAGAAATTCAGGAGGTTTTGGTTTTGATTGCAGGGTCCACTCTAACTTGCCAGAGCACAAACACAGCTCAAAATGTTTTAAAAGTGTATTCATCCTAATAACTCCAGCAGAACGCAATTGCGAAAGACAATTACTAATGTTTTCCTTGGTGACTGGGATGTTTTTCCAGCTCTATTAAGCTACAATTGCCATACAACATCATGTGCGTTTAAAGTGTACAATGTGATGATTTGATATACTTATATATTGCAAAATTAACACCCTTCACTTCACGTAATTACCATTTTTTGTTGTTACGGTGAGACATTTAGATTCACTCTCTCAGCAACTTTCAAGAAAGCAATACAGACAGTATTGTTAGCTAAAGGCACCGTGCTATACATTAGATCCCTATCATTCATTCCTCTATAACTGGAAGTCTGTACTCTTTGACCAACATCTCTCATTTTCCCCACCCCCCAGAAAGCATCTGAATGTTTCTATGAGTTCAGCTTTTTTAGATTCTACATATAAGTGATACTATATTTGTCTTACTCTGATTCATTTCACTTAGCATAATGCTTTCAAGATTCATCCATGTTGTACAAAGGACAGGATTTTCTTTTTTATAACTGAATAATACCTCACTATGTATCTATACATATGTATATGTCACTTTCCATTTATCTGTTTATGAACACCTAAGTGATTTCCATATCTTGGCTATTGTGAATATTGCTACAATGAACATGGGGGTGTAATATCACTACAAGATAGTGATTTCATTTCATTTAGATAAATACCCAGAAGTAGGATTGCTGTATTATATGATGGTTCTAATTTTAATCTTTAAAGAAACCTTTCTACTGTCTTCCATACTGGCCATACCAATTTACAGTCCCAACAACACTGCACAATGATTCCCTTTTCACAACTCTCATCTTTTTGGTCTCAGCTGTTCTAACAAGTGTGAGGTGGCATCTTCTGCTTTTGATTTGCATTTCTCCATGAGTGCCAATATTGAGCACCTTTCATGTACTTATTGGGCTTTTGTATGTCTTCTTTGGAAAAATGCCTATTAAGGTTTTTTTACCCATTTTTAATCTAATTATTTGTATTTTGCTATTGAGATTTATGAGAGCCTTATATATTTTAGATACTAACTTACCAGATACGTGGTTTGCAAATATTTTCTTCCATTTTGTAGGTTGCTTTTTTGTTGTGTTGATCATTGAAATAGAAAAGAGAAGACTTACTGATCTGTGCATGAGGCTGTCCACATTATGCTAAAGTAATATGGGTACTATGAAGCTATGGAAAAGCCCATAAATTTGTGAGTTCATGAGATGATTACTGCTAATAATAATAAAAAATGTAATGGTCAGCTTTCTTTTGAAAGTAGTGCTGGCTGGCTTGCATGTTTCAAAAGATGATACAGCATAAAAACTGTTAAACTCTCAATCCTGCAGATCAGGAAGGTACAGAACACCTCCTTAAGGTATTCTTTAAAAACACCTCCTAAGCTCCTATACAGGAAAAGCATATGTGGGAAAGATGATTTACAATGCTGATGAGACTATTTTACAAGGACATTGATGAACAAAAATGTATAATGTAATAGGCATTTCTGCTAACAAAAATGGTGTGACCACAAGGTCATAAAAACATAACCCTGTATTTTCCCTAGGAGCTATATATTTACTAATTCAATGCTCATGGAGATTTTGTAGGAAACTACCACACATAACAGGAATCAACTATACATCATAAAAGTCTATAAATTGCTATGATTCATTGTGCCAGACTTTTCTGTTAAAGCAGAGGATAAGAATTATCTAAACATTCCTGACTTAATGCAATAGGGCAAGAAAGAGAACATACAATTATAAAGAAGAAATTGAAATTCTAATTATTTACAAATAATATTGTTACAGATCTCGAAATCCAATGTAATCAACTAAAAAGTTATTAAAAATTATATGTTCAATAATTTTTCCGGATATAAAGTAAATATAAATTTCAATATCATTTATTTACTTAAGCAATTATGTGTTAAGTAACAAAATAAAAACATGACTTGAAATATCAACAGAAAGGCAAAGATAAATAATTTTAACAAAATTAAGTTTCTCATCATTTTCAAAAATTCTATAAATCTTTACTAAGTCATTTAGGGAAGAAAAATGAATAATAGGGCAGATACATCATGTTAGTGACAGAAAGACAACTTATTAATTGGTTCTTAAGTTTATAGTTATTTTAATTAAAAACGTTTAATAAAATTCTTCTGAAATATCTCTGGAAGGATAAATGAGCAAGAATTGGTATGAACACTTTGAAAAGTAAAGAGTAATTCAGAGACAGAGCCTGTGGATTGAGTGGATAATCACAACTGCACAACCACAAAAAAACAATAATTACTTAAATGTGAGGACAGTAAAAATAGCAATGGATGTAACCGAAAATTCTCCTCTTTATTGTTTAAAATATGTTAATTTTGGCGTGCCCAGTGTGCATCTAACAGGCTCCTGCAGGGCTCCTGGAGGTCCATTGAGTCCGGGCTTTCCCCCGACTGGCCCCACGGCACCTTGTTGCTCTGTGCCTCTGCACTGCAGGCTGCCTTTTTAATCACAAATCATCAAGTTCGGTCTTTGGAGCTGACCCTATGCCTCCCTTTCTCCATCTCACAGCCTTCAGACCATTTCTCTCACCCACAGGGAACACGCTGCTTCTCTGTTTCTCACTGGCGCAGTCAGCTCCTGACCCGCAGCTTTCCTGTGAGCCTAAGGTCATCTGGGACGGCTTTCATTTTCCAAAATGTCCTAGCCTTTCAATTCATTTTTTTTCTCATCTCCATTAAATGTCTCCTTTTGTCAAAGAAAGTCTGTACCACAAAGAACTGAACAGACAAGGCAGGCTTTGTTCAATTCTACTGCATTAGGGATCCAGATTTTTTCCCATTGAGGTGAGAGATTGAACTCAAGTCCTTTGAAACAAAACACAGGAGAGTATTAAGCCTGGGGTGAGCAAGTGGAAAAGTTCTGGAGGACACTGGGGTTTAGGGTATTGGTCAATAGGATTGGGTCATCTGTATCTGTTAATTGGTACTTACGTTAGGTTTCTACCCTCCAACAGAGGCTGGGAGACAGGGTCTCCACCTTTCTGGACACTTATCTTTAAAAAGGACAGATCCCAAGTCCTTGAGAAAGACATTTCTGGGCTGTAAAACTGACAAGTGGTTGGAAGGAGATTTACATCTCAAAAGAGTACAGAGAGAATTTACAATTGGAAGTTTCCCAAAATAAATGCTCTCAGAAAATGGAGATCGAGGGTGTACAGTCAGGAAGAAATCTAAATTTTAGTCAAGCTGAAGAAAATGTTAAGGCCTTCTTCATGCTCTACTATAACTATAATTACAGCTAATTTTAGCTAAACTAGTTGTGCATTCAGGTGTAATGTCAGTTCAATGCGTTGGTACATGAACACTAGATGCCTCATAGCCCAGAAACAAACCTTTATTACAAGAGAGACCATGTTTCATGCAAATCATGGGAGGCTCACCCTATGCCTCAGAAGGGTACACACCCCTTATACTTGTGTAACTTCCTTCTCTATTTCTCTTTCTTATTCTGGAGGTTCTATTTTGTCTTAATATATTTGTATCTTAATATATATTCATTATCAGTCACATCTCTTCAACTGTAATATGAGAAAGATAATGCCCCATTTAAACACTAATCAGCTTGAAGGTCATGGAAGCCTTTTCCAGTGGGGAAGGGGAGGTGGCTGAAGGACTACCTTTTTACTTTCCTGTATTTCTTATTGAAATGGAAAATCTGTAGTAGTAGCACCAAAGTAAGAGACAGGAAGAACCTTGGCTTTAACAAGTGTTGCTCTGGTATCTCCATCTTACTTGAAATTGCTCATTGCATTGAAGTGCCATCAGGGATAAAGCTTGTGCATTGGTTTCAATTCTCAAATAATGGATTCTTCTTAGCTACAAACTAGCAACTTTGCTACTCTTCAATTATTATTCTTTTCCAGGCTGTGACAAAGACATGCTGATCAACATTCTAACTCAACGCTGTAACACACAAAGGCTGATGATTGCAGAAGCATACCAGAGCATGTATGGCCGGGTAAGTTCTCTTCATCTTGACTGTAATTTTAGGGCAAATGCCTGAGAACTGAAAACATTCTCAAAGAACAGGTACTGGTCTTTTCAGTCTCACAGGTGACAAAGATTTCAGACATCACAGTATTAGGTATCAGAAACAGTTCCTATGACTCTAGCATGCTTCAAGGAATACAAGAAAGATATATCATCAAATATATCCATGTGCGAGCTATGTTCACACTCACAGTGACTCCACCAGTCTTTTCTCAAATATCATTCAGCTTCATAAAATGAAAGTTCTGCTAGCCTTACCTAGTTGGTCCAATTAGGCTATACATGTCACGCTGGGAATACCCGTGTCAAGCTTTAGGGAAGGCATAGGAAGAACTAATAATGATCACAAGGTCAAAAAGCAAGATCTTTTCCTGCAAGTTTCCACATGTCCCCACCTAACTCTCAACCAAAGTGAATTCTCTACTAGTTCTTCCCTTAACAGCATGCGGTTACAGAGATCATTTAAAAAGAATGGCAGTTAAAAATAGTTCAAGGCAACAATACTCTCCATAGTGTTTTAATGTAATCACATTCTAATTTCAAGCAAGTACCATTAAAGATTCCTTTCTTTTGTTATGCATTTAAAACACAGATTCAGAACAAAAACTGTTCAGGTCAAAAGAACCTGAAATATCAATTACTTTGTCGACTGAGCATTGTCAGTGAAACACTATCATGAAACTCTTCTCTATAGAGTTAGTCCATATAAATTTACCTCCTGTAGAAACCTCAGTCTTTGAACTATAATACCTAAAGTAAAGGAAAACACTCTGTTTTAGAATGAATTAATTATCCAAAAAGCCACGAATACTAGTTGAAATTAGTTGAATTAGGCCGTAGAGGGAAATCTATTATTATTTTTTTAATCCAGGTGAAACTGTTACCTTATGTTCCTCTGACACAGAGCTAGTTTTCTTTTGAAAGAAAATGTAAAAACCATAAAAGTGGAAGCATTACTAATCTCATATTTTTTTTAATATACATACTGATATGACAGGTCACCTTTAAGTGACTTTTTTGTAACCAAAAGACTAACATACATTTTTGCTTTTTACACATCAGGTAAATTAGGTTGAAGCATTACTTTCTCAATCTCAACAATATTATATTACAACAGATTAAAATGATCAAGAAATGAGATACTCATTCAAGGAATGTAAAACCCATTAAACATTTACACTCCAGTGGAGCACTTTCACTGTATGTATAAGGCCTCAAAGTTTGTTAGATTCTCACTTTTGCTGAATAATCCATACCGTGTGGGAAAGCGTGACTACTCCACTAAATTATACCCACGGGAAGATAGGAAATCATGCTGGCCCCTTGCCTCTGAGATACGCTTGTCATGAAATCAGTTACCATGTCTCGTAAATCCCCTTCCCTCTCACAGGCCTCTCCTTTTCCCTCACTCCCACAGGCTTGACTTAGGCCTTCATCATTGGGGGCCAGACTAGCGGTGAGCCTGTTAGCTGATAGCTGCTATTCCCAGTTTCATCCCACCCTGGTCAATCCTCACTGGAGCCACAGTGATTCCCAATCTAAACTTACACTTCTCGCTTCAATCCCGAATCTTTACCTTATTTCTAACAAATATCCTTATGCCCAAGGAATAAACCCGACTGCCTGTCCAGGGCACACAAAGCCTTGCCTGCTTTGTTTCTGCCCTCTGTCCTCCGCTCTCTCCCTTTTCTTCACACCCCCTCAAGGCCAGCCAATGAGAACTACTTGTAGTTCTACCAGCTAACCATTCCTACTCCTTCCCCTTTCGTCACGGTGTTTCATGTAGCTTCAATGGCCTGATTCTCCACTCCACATGCTGCATGCCCACTCATCTTCCCAGGCACTGGACGTTTTCCTCACACCACTACTCCTCAAAAAGAGTGGCACAGACTTGTGCTGCTACTGCATCCTTTATGTAACTTTCCCTTGGTACCCAATGACACATTATAGGCTTTTTATATCTGTTTCTGTATATCAGAGCGTAAATTCTTGAAAGCTGGAATACATCTTGTTCATCGCTGGAGTTCAGCACAAATGGTCTGTCTCGTATGTCAAGATCGCTTCAGTAATGTTTGTTGAATGACAATGTGAAGGCATAGGTAATTGCACCTCCTCCCGTAATATGCAATAAGGTTTGGGCTGCTCTTGGAAACCCCCCCCCGGGCATGCTCACTCTCCGCTCTGGGCTAGGGGCTCCCTGCTAGGCTTCCAGAGCTCCCTGGGTATTATGCTACCCCAGCCTTGCTACACTGAGTAGTGTCAGCTATCTGTTATCCCTTGCTGACTAGGCTATAATCTTCTGGGAAATCAGGGACTGTGTTATTTGCTGCAGAGCTCAGGCCGGGGCCTCACACAGAAGAAGCACTGTACTTTTAGAATAAGGAAATCTCAGGAATTATATTCTGCCTTTGTGCTTTAAAAAAAGGAAAAAGAAAAACACCGCTTTATTAGCCACTTTATAGTTAAAATGAATATTCATAGATTACTTCAATTTCTCTTTTCCCTCATTCAAGCAGCTCCCAGGTTCAGCCACCTGCCCCCCCCTCCGCCCCCACCACCCCGCTGCTCACTTCCAGAATTCCTGCTTCTGTTTTACCAAGGCGTGTCATCTGATAGCTCTCCCATTCTGGGGCAAGAGTTTATAGATTTCCTGTATCTTAATCATGGATATTTTTATTTTTTATTGACATGGGTAATCCAGACTTGACAGACTTATTTTCTTAGCTACAGAGTTGAGTGCAATTCTAGGCCTGCTCCACAAATACTCGTGATTTAATATTTAACATCAGTGAAGAACTGCCGAATTCCGTCAACAACTTTGCCTCATCCAAAGCAGAAGGTGATCCCTAGACTCAAATGAAAAGCCCTGTGGAATGCCTCTGACTGACATATTTATCAATATCATTAATGAGGTCACTCTGATCCTCCACACCAAAGAAAGTGCTATTCTATTGACAGTGCAGTGAAAGCAAAGGAACAATGAGATGCCTCTGAGGCTGGGGAGAGAGCCTACCCATGCCCGATAATGAAGGAGTTCAAATTCAGCATTGAAGCAATTGGTTTTCCCAGTTTTCATTTAAAATAGGGGTGATCAGCTCTGAAACATCCTGGCATCTGGACTTCATTAACCCTATGGTATTGGTCATGTAATTTAGCAAAGGGACTGACTTGCCCCAAATCACACAAAACGAGAACTTGCACCAAGGTTATCTGACTCTTAATCGAGTCTGCCAAAGCTTCTCAATAAGGCCTGTTGTTCCCAACTGAATAAACACCAGACTTCACGACGCTGATATCTGTATTGCTAAGTCCCTCATATCCTTCAAAGCTTTACCCAATGTCAGCTACTCAACAGGGCCTAATCTGATTCCCCTTTTTAAACTGTCACCCATCCCAAAGCCTATACTAGTACTCCATATTTGTTTTACCTGCTCTTTTGCTTATTGGCTTCTAACACATCACATAATTTACTAACATATTATAATTAATATTTAGTTTGCCACCCCCCTCTAGAACACAAGCCCAAGAAGGAAAAGAGCCTTTCTTTTGATCACTAATATGTCCCCAGCATTTACAACAGTGGCAGGCTCTTAACTGGCATTACAGACTGAAAAGTGTCTCCTCAATATTTATATGTGGAGGCCCTAACCCCCAGTGTGACTGTTTGGAAATAGGGTCTTTAAGGAGATGATTAGGGTTAAATAAGGTCATAAAGGTGGGGTCCTAATCCAATAGGACTAGTGTCCTTTTAAGAAGAGGAAAAGATACCAGGGGTACACACACAAAGGAAAGGCCGTGTGAGGACACAAGGAGGCCAGCTCTAAGCCAGGAAACGAGGCCTCACTAGAAACCAACCCTGCTGGTACCTTAGTCTTGGACTTCTAGACTCTAGACTGTTAGGAAATAATTTTCCATAGTTTAAACCACACAGTCCATGGTATCGTGTTATGGCAGCCCAAGCAGACTAAAGCAGTTGTTACTCGATAAGGAGTTGTGATTGTATGAAGAGTTCAAGTGTTCCATGTTCTCATGACTTTTCCCCCCATCACCTATCATCTTCATGGTTAAAAACACAGATCTTGAAGTATCAACACACTTAGGAAGTGCTGGCTAGAAAACTAACATATCTACTTTGGAGGTAGAATCTCACTAGTACCAGTAATAGGTTTGTATCATCTCTATCCTCACTTTTAGTTTGGAAGTGATGGGGTAGGTATAGTTTTATCCTCAAAAGCTGAATGGTATACATTTTATCACAGATCAATTTTATAAGCATGAATTAAATCATTTAAAATGGCACAACTACCTTATCTTTCAAATATATCATGGGTTAAATAAACTCCTTCTGGTGAAACTGAGAACTTAACTATCAAAAGAAATAACTTTTTTCCAAAAAGGTTTTCTATATAATCAAAGTTTTATAAATCGAGTAAACCCCCTGTGAATTTTTGCTACATCTTGAACAATTATTTCTCTTTGAAATAACATATACAATCTCTGCCACAGAGGGAGGGATGAGGGTGGGAAGAAAGGAGGGAGGAAGAAAATTCGATATTCATAAAGCCAGGCTGCATTAGGCTTCAAAATACTCTTTAAAGCCATTCTGTAAATTTACACTCCCACATGCAGTGTATAACAATTCTCATTTCCTTTAAATTCTCATAAAACTTCTTAGGTTTTGACCACTCTTATGGATGTAAATGGAATCTCACTGTGGTTTTAACTTGCATTTTCCCTAATAACATGTAATGCTGAGCACCTTTCCATAGGTTTCTTTTACATTCTGGTTTGTACTTCTTTTAAGTTAACTCTTTATATTCTTTGTGTATTTTTTGTTCAGCAGCCTGCAATTTATTTATTAGTTTGTAGTTATTTATATAAACAGGACCTTAGTCATGTCTTATGGATGGAGACCGAAAATACTTTCTTCAAGCATATGGATTCATTTCACACTATGTTGTTAATCTT